ATCATTTCTTCATGAATATTCGTCAGTGCTGTTTATTTATGCTTTTAAGACCAAACCATAAAACTGACTTCTGAAGTATAAGTAAACCTGCGCAAACTTAACATCAGGTAAAATGTCTTAAAGGCGTTCATTCGTAATTGATATGAAACTCGACAAATATTCTCAAGTGGGACGTTGTAAAAAAATCCCCTTCCTCCTGTAGACGAGGGAGCGTCATTAAGAAAAGGTCGTGAATCACTAACTTGAACGCTATTCAGCGTTGTAAGTCATTGATTATACAGAAGAACTTTCAGCGACAAGTCATCGCGAAACTACCTAATGGTGAAAAATTATTCGGTTCGTTTGTCCTTGAGATTAGGCAGCAGCGGTTTACGGTAAAACCACAGCGGATCTTATAATCACAATAAAACGGCGCTGCCTAATTAGCGGTTGGGAATGAACGGCGACACTTATGAGCATATTGGGAACATTCATATAAATAACCATTGGGTGATTTTACCGAGTGACCAAATTAGGAAATTAATTATAGTGAATATTTATGGCAGCTTGGACGATGATCAGATAGGGAAATTAATTCCACAGCGTACGCATTAATCAAGAACAGGAAGAAAAACCTTGCAATAGGGCCACTTGTTGACCAAAGGTCTCTTTCAGACAGTCCCGTCACTGGCAGAGAGCTCAGAGATTTGAGGATTAAAATAGCCAAGACGAGGACCGTCGCGATGGTGAGGAGCGATGGTGGAGGAGATGGTGGTTGCGGACTGCGGTTACGATGTCTATCAGCTCCACAGTAATCCAAAAGCGATTATGTCAGACAGAACTGCCACGAAGTCAGTCGAGCCAACCGGGAGGAGATGGCGGAAAATCTAATAAATTCACCAGGGAGCAAGTCTTGGCGCGCTCATTCTATTGACTGGAAACTATCGCTGTCACGCTTGGTTGACCATAACGGCGTGTTTCGATGAAACGGCCGTAATTGCCTCAATTACACCCGAGCCATTGGAGGCGAGACCGCAAATGAGCGGCGCGGTCGAGGGACGCAATGTCTCGTTAGAGCCTACTCCGCCTCGTCTTCTACCGGTTCTCCTTACCGTACGGTCGGTCCTCAGACGGATCGACCCCTGCCCAGCCCTTTTCCGGTACCGTATCATTGGCGGGCTAAATCGCACCAGCCCCAGTGCAACACGCGACGACGCATGGCGCAACAGTCGAGCTCAAATAATCGCGTAATTAGCCTTTGTCGATGGTGCATGGTGATTAAATTCGATTGGCGCTCGCACCGCCTTTTGGCCAATCTCACGAATCGGTTACATTCTTGTTATGCGGCTCTTGCGACGCATTGACTGATGCGGATGATGAGTTTAGAGCGCCATGGGCTTTTATCGTTCAAACACCGAGCAGCGACGAGTTTAATGGAATATACTCGGAGTTAGGCAAATGATATAAAGATTTGGAGCGGTGTCCGATTATCGCCGATTTCTGCCATCTCGTCGTCGACAACCAATCATCGTCAAAGCCGGTAAAATACCTGAATCTGATTGGGCATTAACGCGCCATGTCAGAGATGGCTCACTACAGAAGCGACGACACAGTGCGACCAACCTTGAATGTCTCTTGGTTCGTTGGGTGTTAGCAGGCGCAGCGCAGCTTGCATTTGTGGCTATCTGAGCTCTAGTCCTGATTTGAGTCTTGATCTTGGTCTTGATGGTAATGACGAACTTCCAGGCGTTGCTCTACTGGAACATGCTGAAGTCGAACGGCATGCTGGCTGACGACTCAAGCGGTGGCACGCGGTTCGTCACCCAGGAAGCCATG